AGCTTAGCATTGTTTATTTGTTTACGTTTTAACATTGTGTCTTCATTGGTGTCTTACCTGTCATCTCATTTCCTTTTACACAAATATTATTGTCATACCCATGTTTTGTATTCTAAATTATATATATATTCTAAATATATATGTTTTCAATGAAATACCAGGACTTTGTCCTGTTTGTTTTAAAGTCAATGATACAGAACTTGACTTGTTTTTAATGGTTTCATTACTAGATTCTCGTATTGTATGCAGACTTTATAACGCTAATATTACGACTGTATTCTCGTAATTTGACTCTACTTTCGGTTTTCTCCCTCTGGTATATATAACTTATTTAAAAATATCTTATTACATTCTCTTCACACTAAAAGTAATACATTTTACCTCTTTCCATACAGTGAAACGATCTCCAATAAGTCAAACATCCCCTTTCGTAACCAATGTCAAACGTTAGCCAGGTTCCTTCTCAGTTTAGCTGCACAGGTGCAGCTCATCACCAATCAGCAATCAGCCTTTCCAGATGGTGCATTCACTGCTTCAGGACATTCAGGCATTCACTACTTCTAAACAACACAGATACAATACGCATAATTTCCTCAGCAAAACGAGTCCAGCTGTAGTATGTCACTATTATTACGAACTGTCAATCAGGTTACATGACACTGACTGCGCCCCCAAGCGGAAGCAGAGCAAAAAGTGCTCTATTACATCCCGACTGACGGCCAGAGGGGGTGTTTAAAGCACTGTATCACGGCTGTCAAACTCCAGTCCTCACTGCAAGGGTCTGCAGTGTTTAAATGGGCGACAGGTACAAAACACTGGAATCAAATGGCTTAATTATTTGCTTCTTGTGTAGACCAGTTCTCCAGAGCCTTAATGACTGAATTATGACTGTGCAGCAGAGGGACATCTAAAAGTTGCAGAACACCTGCCCTTGAGGACTAGAGTTCGACACTCAATTTTGGACATGAGAGGTCTGAATGAGAGGTTTCTTAAGACGATCCCTTTCCACATGTTGTGCATCAGGAATGTGTGTTAGAAAATCTCCCCAGGCCACTGGTTCGCCGTGGCTGACTTGAGGGACGCATACTTTCATGTACTGATTGGACCACACCATTGGCAGTGTCTCCGCTGTTCATTTCAGGACAAGCATTTGCAGTTCAGAGTTCTTCCAGTAGGTCTTTCTCTGTCCCCATATGTGTTCACTCAGTACTTAGGCCCTGTATCCCCTGCAGGCCAAGGGGTTTACTTGAACGATTGTCTGATCTGTGCACCCACAAAAGCTCAGGCGGTTGCAGACACATGAACGTTACTAAGTCACAATGACCCTTCGTGGGAAATGGCAGAAGAGCAACCTAGTTCAATCTCAGAAAGTCACGTTTCTTGGGACCATGATGAACTCCCTCACCATGACTGCTTGGCCATCACCTCAGCGAGTCGAGGGAATCCTGCCTGCCTTTCTGTGTGGCCATGCACCCCACTTTATTGCTTACTTTCTTTTGTTGGGCAAGCTGACTGCTACCGCTACAGCAATACCCCTGGGACTGTTGTCTCTGCAACCACTATAGATGTGGCTCAACAGCATGAAGCTGGACCCATCTTGTTTCCAACTAATGCAGGAAACTACTGGTTTCCCTTCAATGCTTTTGGTCGACTTGAGGGACGCATACTTTGCCAGATGGTCATCATTGGCTCAGTGGCAAGGTAAAATGTTTATGATGAGGAGTTGAGCAGCAGGTTCAATACCTCCTCCTGGCTCTGAGTGGTTGTTCCTACCTTGCACTGGGAGAAGGCTATTATTTTGTGTCTCATACCATATTGTCACAATTGGGCGACAGTTTCAACAAATATGTAAAAATATGTTGTTGTTTTTGTACAAGTAACATACTGCTGCCGTAACAATGATTACAATCAATCAAGACTCACAGGAAGCTTAATTAGAGGTTCTTTCTTTACCTACTTGACCCTAAAGATGAAGCAACTGCCCTTTAATTTCTTTTCTGCTGTCACAAAAAGCTTAATCTTGAATTTTCAGAGGGATGCTGAGAGGTCAATTGTTGGATGTCTTCTGCCGTATGCCTCTACAAAGTACTAGCCAGACTTTACACTCAGACAAATTAAGCTCATATAATAACCTCGATAAAATAAAATGTTAGTCAGTTCTTCATTTTGATTTATGCCATTGTAAATCACAATTTAAGTGGATAAAATTTAGCATCACTGCAAACTGGCAAAATGTATATCACATCACTGAAGTGTAAGTATAGAGTTCTGCTAATGTCTTCTGTGGATAATGGCTCTCACTGTGGTGAGCCTTAAAACCTGCTTTGCAACACTTTTTAGACCATCCAGGATAATGATAACTTTATTTCTCTTGTTTTCATGATGTATAACTGAGATATTTAAGCCGGTTTCATGCTGTCACACAGGTTGATTTTACACATCTGTTTCCGATTAGTACTGGGTACGGCCAGCGAATCTAAACTTGATGAGGCTAATACTTATTTACAACGCTGTTGGAATGCTTCTGCTTGCATGAAATAAAGAACCTCAGCACAGCCAACCTGCAACACTTAGCATTCGTACATAATTATGCATGAATCTTCTGGAATATGCCATTTGTAACAATTACACTGAGATTTGGATGACAGTGGATGGCACAATAATTAGACAACAGAAGAGAAAATAGAGAGTGAGGAATAATTGAGGCGGAAGACTTACAAACAGAGACTGGGTGGATTCGGGGGGGGAAGAGAGACAGAGGAGAAATCATTATTTGGCTTGTCCATCAGTGAAGCAGGCGGCCTGTGTGTGTTTTCTGGGCATGCAGCTTCCGTCGCTTCCCTCAAAGTCTTTTTCAATAATGTAAATGTCCCTCACTAGCAGGCCCGTCTCCTCCCTGCTCTTAATTGTTTTTGGCCTGTTATGCCTTTGCTCCCTCGTGACAGTGTCAGTTGCCTGCTCCTGTTTACTTTGCTTGTGTCTCAATTGGTTCAGATAACTGCTTTGCATAGATGGTGCACGTGTTTGGGAATACATGCCCTTTTTTTTTTGTCTTCTTACATATGTATATGAGAGTGCACATGTAAGCTGACAGGGAAAAATATAAGTCATGACACAAACCTTAAAACCAGCAAGAGGGAGATCTGAGGACAACACCAGCAGCAGGAGACCAAAGTGACATGAAACGACACCGGGGGAGAGGAGAGCAGCTTCATACAACAGAAACAGTCTGCTTGTGCAGTGCCTTGCAAATGTATTCAAACTCTGGAACCATTTCACTTTCAGGCATGTTGCAAACCAGAAACTTCTCTACATTTCCATAGGGAAGTTTTGTCCTGAAACAAAATGCAAAATGCAAAACTTTGAAGATCTCACAGAGGACTCCTTGATCTGTCGACGGTGAGCTGTGCCGCCAGACCATTCATTCAAGAAACAGCCCAGAGGTTCACCATAAACAGGTGAAAACAGGTGCTTTAGTTGGTGTTGTGTTCACAAGGTTATGTGCTGGGTTGTGTGTGTTTCTCCGGCCTTTCTCCACCCCAGGAGAAAGGCCGGAGACGGCTGCATGACGGCACCTCCAGCAGCCGTTCTTCAGCCCCAATCAAGAAGCAGTATTTCATAGAAGTGGGCTTCTTGAGGCAGATGCCAGGTGGTCAAGTCATTGCTTCTGGCAAAACTGTCTCACTGTTACTTGACTCTAGGGTGAGAGAGTTTGAGGAAAACCTTAAAAAATAAAATAAAATGGTTTTCTAGTTTGTTTTTTTCCCTAGAAAATAGTACTGTATAGATAAAAATAAGAATGATGAGGGAAAACTCCAAAGGAGAGTAAAGGTGATGGAATAACAGCTTGAATGTGAACAGGAATAGAGAAAACTACTCCAGAAGAAGGCAGTCTATTTGTTTGACTTATGTAGCACAACTGCCTCAAATAGCACACACGCATAGAACCACTGCCGCACATCTGACAGACAGGCCTCCCAGTGGGTTGTTAGCCACGCTTGCAGAAATACAGCTTCATTTCTGTTGACAGCCGGAGGAAAATAATTGGCCGATAACAACTCATCAGAATTCAGGCGATATGTATGATTTTCTCACCCAGTTGTATCAGAGACAATCAGAGCCGGTGTAAACAACAAAACGCAGCGATCGTCTCATTCCTGTCAAGGCGGCATCTGGAGTAAAGTTTGGGTTTGCTTACAAAGACGTGGATTTTATAGATTTTCTTTTTTTGTATCTTGCTAAAGTGACGTTTACATGAATTAGTTCTGCTGCTCTGTCAGGTATTTTATGCACGGGCCATATTTTATCACCAGGATATGAATGTTACAAAGACATTTTATGTGCAAAACTTTCAAATGTTTTGATTCAGTGACATGAGTTTGACTCTTGCTATTGTAGTGTTTTTTGTTGTTGTTGTTGTTGTTGTTTACTTTGTAGATCAACTGGTATTATCTAATATGACCATTGTAGCTGGTTATTATCAGAATAATCATCAATAGCTAAGAATCCAAATTTAGGAAATACCTTTCAAGAATTCCAGAGAGTATCTGAAAACAGCAATTTCAAATCATTATTAAACATTTCTAATTAGATTAAGGGCTGGATCTTGACTTTGACGAGTCTGTTCTACTACATGCTTTCATTGCAGTGATTCCATTGTATGTATGAAGGGTTGCTCAAGCATCCAAACAGCATGATGCCAGCACATGAATGTTTCATTGCATTATTTTGTCAGCAAAATTAACCATATGGCACAAGTCCAACCATCTACTTCACATCTATGCACTACTTCAGCATTGGTCTTTTAGATAAAATAATAATTTTCCAAAAATTATATATATATATATATATATATATATATATATATATATATATTTTTTTTTTCAAAGTCGGTCTGGGTGTTATGTCACGGGGTCCTTAGTTTCTTTGTGGAGTTTTTGTGCGTGCACTAGCTTTTCTACACCACTAGATGGCACCAAATCCATCCCGTCGGAGGCCGTGGATGACGTCTCCTTCACACCTGATGCGAGTTTAGCTCGTCAGCGGGAGTTTCAAGAGGAGCTGACTGCCAGTTCTTTGGCATTTGAGTGTTAGCCAGTAATGGTACCTCTGAGCCCCTAGAGCTTGTCTCTGTGTTCTTTGCTGATCTGCTCCTAGTGATTGTTTCCTTGTTGCTTCTCCTGTCTTCAGGTGATCCCTCCTGGTGCCCTGGATCCACTCAGTGCTGATCCTTCCTGGCTGCTTTCCTCGTGACGTGGAGCGTACCCACTGGTTGCCCGAGTTCCCAGACTAACCTTCTCCGTGTGACAACACAGATCCTTCAGGATTTCCACGGCTGGCAGTCGCACCGCTCCTCTGTACCCACTGATCCTGAGCCTACCTGTCCGTCCTCCGACGCACTTCCCGTTACCTCCTGGTTTCCCACTGACAAAACAACGACCACTTGGAACCACGGAGAGACTGAGACCTCGAACCTTGCAGTTACCCTCTCACAACTCGAACCTACCATCCGCAAGTAAGATCTGTCCAATCATTTACAATGTTGTCATTTCCCACGACACTGAACTCATCACCTTACTCTGCCTCTCTAGTGAGCTGTTTGTTCCCTGAACCAGCCTACCTTCCTGGACCAGACCTGAGCCCCCATAACCTACCAGCTGTGTTCTAATAAACTTATCATTTATTTCATATTTATCTCCTGTGTTGTATTCTGCATGTGGGCTTGAAAAAACACACCCATCATGACACTGGGGAATGATTCTATCATTTTCTCAATGCGTTGGCCTGTCCCTGTTAAGCAAACCTCAGTGACTTCCATTTTGAAATTGCAAGAGCTGGTTGCTGCTCCTGTCAATCTTGCTCATGACTGGACTGGAACTGCATTCAAATGTGCCAACCAATTAACCAGGACCCCATGAGCTTTGAGCCAAGCCCAGTCGTAGACAGAAAGCTCTGAAATGTTACTCTCGCTACACTTTCTGAAATTGTGCAATAAAATGTTTTTATGTGGTTACATCCCCTCTTCCAGAAGGCAGCATCTCCCATATCAGGGGGCAGGAACTCAACCTGCCTGAAACCTTCCTATAAGCAAATGATCCACATGTAGCACCAACCTAAAATAAAATCCTGTCCCCAAAGAAATGCCATTTAAATGTTTAATTTATGTCTCTTCTCTTCACAATCAGATTCCAGGTTTTACAAGCGTTGTGGGGCCCTTTACAAATGAAATACCATTTTGTGCTTAAGACAACGCATTTGCATAGTTTCAAACTAATTACATGGAATCTATTATCTGCAAAGATGAGAATCGGGTGGAATAAAGGTGTTTCATTTGGTGTTTTAACTTGCATTGACACCACTGCACACATTATTTGTCTGCATTAAGCATTTTACATCAAGCAATGGATTCTGCCTTGGTGTAATTAACAGGACCACAAGATAATAGCGGAGACCGCTGGCAGCTGAAATCTCTCACCAATTAGTTCTATAGTGTTCCTCCTCCCACTCGTTCATTCACATTTTGTGTTTTTTCCCCTGTCACTTCATTGTAGAATTATGATTTCCTGCTTCTGTACCAAAGAGGAGCACCGCAGAACAGTCTCAGAAGCTTGCATACTAGATATGTATTTAACTTCCCACTTTAAAAGTTGGAACATGAACAGGTTCTTAAAGTTAAGTCATTTTTACCTAACAGAGTATGGTTGTGTCATATAAACTGACAAAACACAGTGAGTAAGTATTTATTCCCATACAGATTTTGTTTCTTTTCGTCCATCCTACAAGGGGATAAGCTTTAATATGAAACAAAACAAAAATTTCCTCCATAAACAGAAAAAGCTGTTTTCTAATGACAATTTCCTTTAGTAAGGGAATAAAAGCAATCAAAAGCAACTTTAAGTAATGCCTCTAAATCTGATTGTGCCACAATTGTTGGCAACAACTCTAAATAAATCTTAAGGAAATTTAATTGTTTTAATGGAATTTAACTCCATTGTTTTGAGTCAAATTACTCCTGTTAGCTGCATATAACCCCTAAAATCAACCCAAGTATCTTTTCGTCTTGCAAAATGGAGTCCTGTAACATCATCAGAAAATCAGCAATTGTAAAAATCGGGTCCACCTTTCAGTGGCCTGGATGAAAACTATGCTGCTCTTTCAGAGTCTGAGCTCTGTCAGTCAGTCAAAGCCAATATAAAACCTATAACCCTGCAGACTTGGTTAACAATCCTCTCATTATGTTTAATAAAAATGATCCTCAGCATCTTTCCTTTTATAACATTCTCTGCTGGCAGGTGGTGTTGTTATGGTTACGAGCAGATTATGGCCCTAGTGCGTGACTATAGTTAACTTAATGAAATCGCTACAGTTTGCAATTTCCTTTTTTAATAAAATTCCTATTGGGGGATAACCGAAGCGAACACAACTGCAACATATTTTGGTTACAAAAACTCATGCGAACATTAATTTTTTTTTTTCCTTTGTTTGTACGTTAGATAGGGGAGTAAATCCTTTGAAGAAAAAAGTACAGAAAAGAACAGCAGTGCCTCAGTGCTTGTGATGCAACAACCTAGCAGCCCTCATCTGTCAGCGACATTAAAAGCAGCAAGATGTATTTGCAGATGATGCATTAGGAGAGATTTATCCAGCACCTGCAGCGTTGCACCATCTCAACAAGTCGGTGCTTCTTTGTGTGTCCAAAACGACACCTGTGGCACTTATTGATTCTTGATGGGAGTTACAGCCAGTGGCGGTCATCTCTCTAGTATCAGCAGCTTCCAACAGCAGTAAACAACACCTGCCTTGCTTTTCCTCACATAATGTAGCCATAGGCCCACGTGTTTGTATGTACAGACTGTCAGGTTGCCTCGCTTCTTTGTCTGACGGTACCATGTCAGCCTGCCCTCTCACCCAGCTCATTTTCCCATTCAATCTATGTGAAGGCCATCGTCAGAGGCAGCAAACATACAGACAGGAGGGCAGAAATGAAAGAGAAAAAAGGGGGAGATTTCCTTTTCAAGAAGTGTGCACTAAAACAAGCAAAGCAAAAAAAAAAAAAATCCACCTCAGTTTTGATATTGGTTACATGAAGCATACATAATTTTGACTCTAAAATAGATAAATGCTTTCATATTCTGCAAGTGTTAGGCCTCCAAACAACAGAAGAGGGGAGATTTTATTTTCTGATTAATGCTCTGTCTTCCTTTACAAAAGCTGTCAAATCCAGTGCTGCAGTGGATTAGGGATGGTATAGATCAGAGATGCATCACAGCAGACCAGAGCAAATAAACAAATTGGGAAGAAAAGCCTGGCACAAAAGTCTTGCCAGGAACGATTTATCAAAATTTCCTATAGCCTGCTGTGTTTGACCTACAAAACGGCTTTTACCTTTTTTTTTTTTTTTTTCCGTTTTTTTGCAGAGAAGAATACCTTGTAGATGCAAGCTGACACTGCTGGTGTATGTCCTTGGAGGAATTATTGCTCTGTGCAGACTCCCTGACTTTTACCAACTCGTCACTAGTAGCTATTATCTTACGTTGCAGTGCCGTTGTCCCCGCTCTAAGCCGTGGATAACTTCCAACATAATTGACCTCTGTTCTGAGGTTACATATTTTACTTCCCCCTACACGGCTTCCCATCACATCTTCTCACCACCCACCAAGGGTTACCTAGGTGGACATTTGTTACCATGGCAGCAAGAGGCCATTCTTTGACTGTTTTATTACTCGTTGAGGGTGAACAGCACTCTATATCAGACCCCCGTGTCCCTGAGTGTGCGGCTGGTCAATGCGATCTCTTCACCCTGGTGTTATGGGAAGGTGAGTAAGTGTGAAATTTATGCTTTGTTATTGTCAGCGTCTCTGCCAGTATATTTCAGCTTTGTGAGGATACTTTGAACAGATTTGCCAAAGATATGAAATTCAATCTGTGGGTGGTGGCAAAAAAAATGTTCTGCCTTTCTCTTCCCTTGTTTATTTAAAGATAATTTTCTATATCAACTAAAAAAAAATATGGATGTTTGTAACTAATCATCCCTAAGTGGCTTCATCGTAGCGGTGGCCATCAAATACAAATACCAAGTGTAGAAATTGATGACCTTTCCTCATTGAGGTCAAGATAGTGTGTGTTCAACAATAAGTACGATTATAATTTAAAAACAGCATTGATCTTTGCAAGATGACAACTTTCTGTGAGGGGGAGAATGGTTTTTTTTTTGTTTTTCTTCACAAGATTTGAGCAAATAGATATTTCCATTTAACTAAAAACACATTGATCTTACTAGAAAACCATGTTCACTTGTAATGTACAGCACATTTGATTAAAAGAAATCTAAATTCACATACACCTCTTCCTGTTTCCCCATAAACCTGAGAGCCAAAGGCTGTGTTCCACTCTGCCACACAGCAAAAACCAGCCCACAAATCCTTTGAGGAACATGTCAAAGAGTTCAAGGTGTTGACTTGGCCTCTGAATTCCCGAGATCTCCTTTCGATCGATATGTGGGATGAGCTGGAAAAACAAGTCATATCCTCAGAGGCCCCACCTTGCAGCTTACAGGACTTAAAGGATCTGCTGCTAACGTGTTAGTACGTGATTCCAAAGGACAGATACAGAAGTCGCATTGAGGGTAAGCCTCAATGGGTCAGAACTGTCTCCAGGTGAGGGGCTTCAACTTTTCTCTACCTGCATGGAATATGAGAAAAGGAATCTAGTAGGATTCTCTTTCAAATCTTTGGTCTTTGAATTCATCGAGTTTTGAACATATTCAATAAAAGAAAATGCACCAATCGGGGGTCTGGGTTTGCTGTCTCAAACGTTTCAGGCAGACTTTGAAAATAAACACAACAGCCAGCAACCCGTGCTGCGCTACGATGGCGCTCACAAATCTAAATGAAATGTCTCGTTGCGAAGACAGCCGGGGGCGCCGGCCACTCAGTCGGAGTAAACACCGGTCTGAAATTGCTTGGAATTGGTACAGTTCAGTGTGTGGAATCATTACAGCGGCATGACATAGCCATGAAGCGCTTTTGGTGTTTGTGTTCCCAATTTCATTAAGCTTGGGTGAACTCTCTTTGTTTCTTTGACAGCCTTTACAGGTTGTTTTTCTTCTTTTTACTCCATCTTTCTTATTTGGTTTCTCTGGTGAGGCTGGACAGGCTTCCCCTGGAGACACGGCTTCGATTCTGTGGACTTAAAAAAGATTCATAACAAGAGCGCAGTGATGCAACGCTTTCTCAGTCAGCACCTGAGTACAAAATCTTGTCAAAATGCTTTACTGAAGACATTATATGATTCTGTAGCAGTGTGCATATGAGCCCGCTCTAATAGAAAAATGAGGATGCCAATGAAAAGCTGAAATAATTGGTCTTGGGGGAAAGTGTCAGAGGAAACAGCTTGGTGATGATAAAAGGCAGAGATGCATGAATCAAAATAACATTTGGGACATGAAAGTGGTCTGACCCTCAAAGTGAGACTCTCTGTGTGTAAGCTGTCTGGCTATTCTTTGGAGAGGAAAAAAAACAAACTTCCAAGTGGTTGCAAACATTTCAAATTACAGAACATGCATCTTTTGAATAACGTTAACTCCTGTGGGTTCCAGGTAATTGAAGATGTTTGAGTTCTGTTTTCTTAATTGCTCTCCAACCAGGACATTAGTGGCATTTTTGTGACAATTC